TCATTGCATTTAATCACGTAGCAGAAGAAACGATGCTGAAACGGTCTTCTAAGTTTCTTTCTGCTTCTTAATCTTGCATTTTGCCGTGATTGCCTGCAAGTTCTCTCTTTTTCCACAACTAGCTTCCATGCTAACGATGATGCTTGCATTCTATCGCATTTCGTTGATCGCTAGTGAGCTGGGTTCCACGGTGGCAAATCCTCCTCATCTGCTGCGCTGAAAGAAAACTGGTCGTTAAAAAATTTTTTTAATTAGTACTCCTATTCGTCTGAGATAGCATCATTCCGAGAACGTTCGCCGTTATAAACGGTTGGACATTTGACCAGCGAAACATACTTTTCCAATAGAGATTTTGCACTTTGGAAACCTGGCTTTTCTGATGTTCCTGTGTTGCAGATATCAGATTCAAAGCTGTTAAGTGAGTAGTAATTTCAGAACAGAAAAATAGTGTATTGATGATACGTAACGGAGCACCATAAGTTTTCTGATGATTGATCGATACGAAAGTTTTCGCCCGTCTCTCCTGGCCTTCTTCAGGGCAAGGTTGACTAGTAGAATGTAATTGGCGAGAAGGTCGCTCCCATGAGTCAACCGGAAGGAGTTATTGGTACATGCCACTGGTTTGATGATTTTCTGGCAATAGGTTCAGAGTGGATCATCCAATTCGTGCATAATCACTGTCAATCTTTGTGGTTGAGATTTTCATGGGACTGGATGAAAAATTCGCCTTTGATGTTCAACCAGTTTCTTTCTTTAACCGTGCTGATAAACTCTGACCATCGAGGGTAAGCTCTGCCTGTGTCAACTGCTGAACAATTTCAGAGGTTTCTTCATATTGGGGCTTAACTTGGCGGGAGCTTAATGCTTTATTTCCCAGCTTTATGAGGCTCGTCTGCTCTCATGAGTCCAGCATGTCAATCACATTCAACGGACCAATCGGCTGTCTCGAAATCGCAACGGAGGCGCAAGTCCGCTTTTTGTGAGTAAATTCTCATGCGTCATGATATACGCTTAGAACTCAGGAATTCGACTATCCGGTGGTTCTGAAACACGCAAAATGCAGCACGAACGATGCACGGATCATTAGAACCAAGCGGAGGGAGCCACCGGACCCTGTAGATCTCTATCAATTCGTGAAGAAGTAGACGAGAGTAGCGTTCGACTGTGTTGGAAGCTAGTCGAGATCGATGAGAGCCACATCAAGGAGGAATGCAGCATCTCCGTGACGACGATCGTCAGAGAGTCTTTGCTCCCTCCTGATGCAATCTGCGTGATGAACACGTTGAATGCAGAATAAATTGGTTGCAGTCCAGCGTCTGTTCGAACAAGCTGAGCGAAGTGGGGCAACAGTGGATCATCAGGCAGTCAATTCCGGTCGAATAACAGATGAAACCTACGGCGGGGTCTCACACCGTTCCTCTGTATTCAAGCCATCGGATTCTATAGTTGGCGGCTCTGTCCGCTCGAAACGTGTTATAGTGAGGAGTCGGTACAAGCGCACTATCCATGTTGTGGCTCAGACACGATTGGTGGCAAAGAACGACCATTAAGTTATCCAGGCCACGCAGTTATCACGCAGCAGCCTCATGAGTTCGTCTAATGTCCTAATCAGAAAACGGCAGTTGGTAGAAATCACAGCAGTAAACATCAGAGATCGGCAAGTCTGTCCTTTCAACGCTAACCTCCAACCTCAGCGCGAACCTCGGAAACGCAGCCGACCTCGCGCAAAGTTCAAAGGTCGAGTACCCACACAAAGACGGCCTAATTCCAGCACCTTTGTTGCCTCAAATTCCGGATCCTGGAGTAAGGACTGAAAGTCACGACGCGTGTACACCTGCAGCAGCAAGTGAACCGACCGCACGGCTCGCTGACAACTTTCTGTCAAACCAAATGGGCCATCGTCACGGAAAAGAACTGTTTGCTAAATGGACAGCCACTTTAAAGAACACACTCCGTTTGTGTGTTTCTTTGTGCCTAGAAATGCAATTCATCGCCGAAGCAGGCACCGAGTTGAAATGAGGTTGAAAAATGACAAATGCGGTTTATTTTTTGAAACCGTTCATGTTCTTCCGTATGCTTATAACATTTAGAAGTAGAGCTTAAATTTCTATTGCGACGGATCCTGTCTCCAATATCTGTACCTCTGCCATTTCTCTCTCAAACATTCTTTCTTGACAGCGGCTGACTTTCTTGATGTGTTCACTGTTGACTTGTACTGACACCATGAATCTGTTATCTACGCATGAAGAAATTTTTATTATAATGTTTGATTTCTTTCGGTATGACTATCGACGCACAGAACAACTACTCCACAAATTATTTAATGTTATATAAACCGTCTTTTGCTGAATTTGAGTTTAGATGCATATTATTTATTTTATGACCTTGACATTTTTAACAGATCGATACCCCAAAGAAAAAGCAAACAAAGAATGCAGCAGAAGTTCAGCTTTAAGATTCGCGTTGACGGCCACCACAACGATGTGCGAGAATACGTCAGGTAGCTTCGACGCCCGGCTAGCTGAAAAGCTTCAGTGCACGAGGCAACAAAAAGCATGAAGTTTTCGACGGTGTCGAAACCGACCGCGGCAGCGACGGCTGTTAACGGCCGATCAGGCTAGAAGAACTTCAAATTTTTACGTTGGCCCGTCGAGCTGACCAATCACCTTCAGCTGAGGGCTGATCGAAAAGGAGTCGACCAATCAGATACCAACCTTTCGGCCGGCGCCGAAGATCCGGTCTGCCCGGCACAGCTAGTGGCACTGCTTGACATAAGCCGTCATCTGCGCGCATTGCTTCGCCACGCGTTACGGCCACCACAGAGGAACAGTGACGGTGATCGTTTGAAGTACGGATAGCGTCATGTGGAAACGGACAGAATCTTGGTGTAGCATTCGCCTACCGGTGACCCCCCATTCTTTGTTCTTGCTGCTGCTCTGCGGTCTGCTGTGGAGTACTGAGGCGCGCAATGTCCTCGCTGAGGAGATGGACAAGGAGTCAAAGCCGCTGGTAAAACGCATTCCTTTCTCAGGACCATTTCCTAATACTCTGTTCGTTTACTGTTACAGTTCGACGTAGACGGCGAAGG